CATCATCATCATCATCATCATCATCATCATCATGATCATCAGCATCATCAGCATGATCACCATCATCGTCATCATCGTCATCATCATCATCATCAGCATCATCATCATCATCATCATCATCATCATCATCATCATCATCATCATCATCATCATCATCATCATCATCATCATCGTGAACCGCATCATCAGCATCATCATCAGTATCATCAGCGTCGTCGTCATCATCAGCATCATCATCAGCAGCATCATCAGTATCAGCATCAGCAGCAGCGACATCATCATCAGCAGAAGCAGCATCATCATCAGCATCATCATATGCTTCGTTATCGCCCCCCTGCGCCCTAGCCTCGACGCTGTCCCCTTTCCCCACCCTCCTCTCACCCGAGTCTCTCTCCCCCGAATCCTGTCATCCTTTCTCCTTCCCCTGGTAGAACGAGCGAGGAAGGACGAGGGGGTCGGGTGAAACAGGACAGGGTAGGGTAGCAGTGAGCAGGAAGAAGAGAGAAGGAAGATTCAGATGGGGAGAGGAGAGACGAGATGGGGAGGAGGGGCGATAGAAGAGGGGGAGGCAGAGGAGAATGGGTGATGAGGAAGAGAAAGAGGAGGATGGGGAGGAGACGCAGGTCAGGAGCAGGAGAGTGAGGGGAAAAGAAAAGAGAAAGGAGGAGGATGGAGGGACAAGGGAGTGATGACGGGGAGGGGTGCAAGAGGTGGGTTTCGTGTGTCACTCGAATCCCTCACCCCCGCTGCTCCACGTTGTGTATACACACGGATGCGTGAGCAGCATGACATGCAATACATGTGTATGCATTTCAGAGCGAGGGGCCGAACGGTCATTCATTGTCCCTGGGTGCGCGGCTGAAGTGAACCCGTGTAGAGGATAATGCTTGTTGCGTTGCTGTTGTTGTTGCTGCTGTTGTTGTTGGTGTTGTTGGTGTTGCTGGTGTTGCTGCTGTTGCTGTTGGTGGTGTTGTTGCTTATTGTCGTCGTCACCACCGCGACCTACCCGCGACCCACCCCGCGACCCACCACGCGACCCACCACGCGACCCACCCCGCGACCCACCCGCGACCCAACCCGCGACCCACCCGCGACCCACCCCGCGACCCACCCGCGACCCTCCCGCGACCCACCCGCGACCCACCCCGCGACCCACCCGCGACCCACCCCGCGACCCACCCCGCGACCCACCAGCGACCCACCAACGACCCACCCGCGACACACTTGCAGCCCACCCGCAACCCACCCCGCGACCCAGCCGCAACCCGATCCACATTGGTTCGAAGAAAAGATCGGCACCTGCGGCGGGCTCGTTATATAATTTGCGAAATTGTAGCGCCTGCGGCGGGCTTCTCCAGAGTCCCGCAGACTGCCGACGTCCCCACCGTCCCCTCACTCTTATCCGCATCTGCGGGGTGCTACGTATATATCAGAGTAAGGGGGCCGAACGGTCATTCATTGTCCCTGGGTGCGTGGCTGAAGTGATAATCCGTGGTGAGGGTTATGATTGTTGCGTTGCTGTTGTTGGTGTTGTTGTTGGTGGTAATGTTGTTGCTGTTGTTGTTGGTGTTGTTGTTGGTGGTGTTGCTGGTGTTGTTGCTGTCGTTGTTGTTGTTGTTGTTGGTGGTGGTGGTGGTGGTGGTGGTGGTGGTGGTGGTGGTGGTGGTGGTGGTGGTGGTGGTGGTGGTAGTGGTGGTGGTGGTGGTGGTGGTGGTGGTGGTCGTCGTCCCCCCCTCGACCCACCCGCAACCCACCCCGCGAACCACCCCGCGACCCACCCCGCGACCCACCTCGCGACCCACCCGCGACCAAACCCAATCTGCGCGCGATCAAAAAGCGCGCCGCAGGTGTGATTTTCCGCGTAATCTATGTGGTGCTATCCAACGGCGGCGACGTGCGGCGACGAGGCGGCGACGGGGCGGCGACGGCCGGCACGGAGCCGCAAGACTGACACAAAGCCCTGGCGACGGGCGGCGACGAGGTGGCAACGGGGCGGCGACGACCGGCACGAACAGCCAGACCGGCAAAAGCAGCCAGACCGCCGGCGACGGGGCAGCGACGGGGCGGCGACGGCCAGCACGGAGCCGCCAGACAGCCCACACGGCGCAGTTCCTTAGAGGAGAAATAAGAACCCCTAAGTGCAAGCACTGCTTGGGGAATCTACGAAAATACATGCAGATGTGTAGATTTACATATGAAGATGTGCGCGTGTGTGCAAACATCAGTACCCTTGAGTTCTCCGCCCTCAGTCCTCTGAATTGAATATTTACGGGCCCGGGCACCACATTCTCGGGTGTCCTGGGACGTGCCGCATGTTTTCTGGAGACAAGTGGAACCTGAAACATGCCAAGAGGTTTCCAAGATGTCCACGAAACGGGTAAAGAGGGCTCCGGGACGACCCAAGAGCGCTACAAGATGCCCAAGGTGGCCTCACGACGGCCCACAAGGCCCCCAAAACGCCCCAAGAGGGCCCCAAGAGACCTCCGAAGAGGGCCCCAAG